CATTCAATTCTGTTGCTCCGCATAATATTCGATTCTTTAATAAAATGTTCTGTTGTCTGTATTTGCCTTTTCATTAATACACAAATCGCATTATTGTATTTTTTGTTGTCCCAATATGATCTGTGTGTGTGTGTGTGTGTATTTATGGGAGATTCTTTACAGAGATCTTTTTTCTGATCCTTTTTTTTGGCGAACAATGTTCATGTTTTGTTCACTGCCACATTGTTGTCATTTGTCATCAGTATAGGATTTGTTTTGTGTTTTATTTGTATTTTTATTTTCCCTTGTTTATTTTAAATGAATGAATTACAAATTTATTCATAATGATTGATTGAATTATATGATGATCGATGAGTTTTGAATATTAATATTCTAATATAAACTTGATGATGATTTTTGTTTGATTTGTATGTTTGATTGTCAAATAATTAAAATGACCCCTATTAGTCATATTCAAATTTTGTTGATTTGTTCATTATCATTAAAATTATTATATTGGATTGGATATTTAATGGTTTTATATTTGTTTTGTTTTGTCTAAGAATGTTATCACCATCATCATCATCATCATTATCATCGTTTAAAAACATGATGATCATCAATTCTGTTGATGGTAAATGATAATCATAATGATGATGATTATTATTATAGTCACATTGTATAATGATTTTTTTTTCGTTTAGCAAAAAAGGATTTAATCATCATCATCACCGCCGCCACTATTATCATCATAATCATCATGATGATGATCATCATTATGTTTATTCTTGTAGGATTATTATTTTTTTTGTTTATGAATAAAATTGTTAACCAAAGCCATATTACTCATATTAGAAAAATGAAATCATAAATATTCTGTTTGTCAAAAAAAAAAAAAATGAATTTATTTCATTACAAGCCAAGAATTTGTGGTGGCTGGTTGAGCATGAAAAAAAAAAAATTTTTTTTTTTTTGGCACAATTCTTTCTACTATATGATGATGATGATTCTGTTGTATTTTTTTCAAAACTGTAAATATATTGTTGTTGTCGTTTGTTTTTTTTTTTTTTTCTAGAATAATAAATTGTCACATTTACAGGAGAGCAAGAGAGAGAGAGAGAGAGAGAAAAAAGAATATATGATTTCACATGTATTTACCGTGTTTGTTGTTAACTTTCAAGATTGCTTATCTTTTGAATCATATACACACACACACACACTTGGTTTTCTATTATTCTTATTCCTTGTTGTTGTTGTTGTTTGTTACTGGAACACATTTATATTGATTATATATTTAACCACCATTATATGGATTGTTTTTTTTTTATTTCTGTTAAAGGATAAGTAAGGATCATTTGGGCAATGTTTGTTTGTTTGTTTTTTATACATACATACACACACACACACGCACTCATTTTTATATATACTTTTTTTCTGGTTAACATTAAGATCTCTATTTATTTTTATTTTTTATTTTTATATATTGTGCTCACACTCAATGGCAAAATGAACAGAGAGAAAAAAAGGCGAGTCCGTTTACACAAAAAAAAGTTATGTATATGTGTGTGTTTTTTGGTTTTATCATAGGTTCGTTTTTTGTTTTTTTTTCTCTTGTTCGTTGTATTTGAATTTTATAAACTTAATGTGTGATATATATATATATTGTACAGAATAAAATCCAAAAATGAAGAAAGAAAAAAAAATTATTCAATACAAAATTCATTATTCTGGTGTGTGTTAAATTATAATAAGCAACTAATTGAATGATTCCAATTCCAATTGGTATGTATGGTTGTATTATTCATTTACTACTACTACTATATATACAAAGCAAGAACAAGATGAATTTTAATGAATAAAATGAATGATAAAGTGATTTTTTTTTCTTTCTCATTTTTGTAGCTTCTGTTTTTTTTGTTGTTGTTTTTGTTGTTGTTGTTGTTGTCTTTGTATATGTGTAAAGAATTTTGTTTACAAGAAAAAAAAATTTTTTTTCTTTAGAAAATTGTCAATGATGACTTTTTGTGTGTGTGTGTAGATAAATAATAAAAAAAATGAATATAAAAAACAACAATATGTAAAAAAACAATAATTCTGATGATGATAATATGAAAAGATTATATCCTCATATATCGAATACATATATAAATGCTTTAAATGAATAAATGATGATGATGATGATGATGACTGTCATTGAATCAAATGATTATATGAATATTAAGACAGACAAACATTTATCATTCTTAAACATATTATTACAACCAACAAACAAGCATAGTCTGTGTGTGTGTGTGAGAGAGAGAGAGAGAATGTCTTTATCTCACATATACACACTTTACACAATTGGCCATCATCAAATCAACAACAACAACAACAACAACAACATGAAGAACAAGAATTTTTTTTTTGAGTATAAATAAAAAGATACCATTCTTATTTGTCTCTGTGTGTGTGGATTGTTGGTGGTGTAAATAATTCATAATTGACTTGCATGACTACTTCTATGTATGTTTTGATTCTTGTAGGTATTGAGTGTTTTAGTAGTAGTGGTGGTGGTGATGTTTGATGGTTTTTTTTTTTTTTTCAAATCAACAAAATCGACAACAACAACAGCAAATAATAATGATAATAATATCAAATCAGCTCAATTGAGCTGATTTTTTTTATTATTGGTAGGAGAGAAAAAAAAACTCGAATCCTACAAACATCAGGCAACAACAACAACAAAACGAGAGAAAGATGGATGGATGGATGAAATTCTTGAAATTGAACTTTTTTTTTGCATGATTCGAATCAAAGTTTTTTTTTCCTATTCCCTTCTTTTTTTTGTTGCTATTGTTGGTGTTGTTAAAAGTTTCTCACCTTTGATTTTTATTATTATTATTATTATCATGATGATTATTATCATTTTTGTTGTTTGGTTAGTTTTTTTTTTCTTTTTTTTTAGTAGCCGCTAAATAATAGTAGTAGTAGTAGTTGTTGTTGTTGTCTTCTCCCGGTAGTTCATTATGTGGACAGCAGTTAGTATATTCATTGTGGACATTGATAATGATTATGATGATGATGATAAACTTGTCGGTCAATGTCATTTTGATGTTTGTTTGTGTGTGTGTGTGTATATATAAATATGAAAACCTTCCGAGAATCTTATCGATGGTTTTTGTTCTGGTTGATTGATAAATCAGGAGGCGGGGAAGGGGGTGAAAAATCTATAATTGATAATTTAAAAATTATTTAAATTCCGTTTCTTATATTGGTCACCATTTTAATGATTCTGTGTGGTCAAAACTTGAATCAAGATAATTTGTTTTTGTCATTATTATTATTATTATAATCATCATTAACTAATGACGATGATCATGTGAATCGTGTGATGTTGATTAAAATTTTTTATATTTTAATTAACCAATTTTTTTTCTGTTGACATTAAATGAAATGGAAGAAAGATTTTCATCATCATGTGGATGATGATGATGATGAGAATAATTTGTATTCATTAATGATTTCAATTAGTTAATGTTTGATTGTTTGTTTGTTTGTTTATTTATTCATCCATTTAAAAAATGTTTGAAAAACAACATCAATTTTTTTTTTTTTTTTTGGTTCTTTTCAGTCTCTTGCATCTTGTAATGTAATAATCTATGTTTTTTTTAATAACTTCCTGTTTTTTTTGTCGAGAAAAAAATGATACGTTTTAAAAGACCATTGTGTTTGTGCGTAAAGATGGTTTGATTTTTGTTGTTGTTGTTGTTGTTGTGGCTATGAAAAAATTAAAAAAAAGAAAAGAAGAATGGGCAAGAGAGAAGTTGTCTATCGGTCGATTGGTTAGTTAGTTAGTTGGATGGTTGGTTGGTTGGTTAGCATGATAATCGAGGAAGTATATGTGTATCTAAATAATAATATATACTAAAGAATACACACACACACACACAGAATAAAACACACAACTAACCAAGAATCGAGTATGTATAACAAATCTTGTTATATAATTGGTAAAGTGTTTAGTGTGTGTGTGTGTTGTTTGCGTCAAATCTAAAGTGGGATCCTATACTTTACAATACACTTGTGTGTGATAATATAAAAATTTTTTTTTTTGTATAATACACACACACACACATACATTTGCTATATAATAATGACATATAACAATGAACAATATTCTGAAAAAAAGGAAAAAAATTGTTTTTTTTTTGAACCCAATGTTGGTAGTGGGGGTAACCTATTATTATTCTTGTTATTCTTGTCCTCACACACACACACATACAAACGATTCTGATGAACTAAACTTTTCATGACTCTTTTTTTTCACTTTCTTTATATATGTAAGTTGAGTATATTTGTTTGTATGTATGTATAGTTGAAAAAAAAGAAATGAAAATGAAGCTAAAATAACAACAGAATCATCATCATCATCATCATCGTCTCATAAACGATTCCGATTCTTTTTTTTTGTCTGTCTATTCATTTGATAAGAATTCATTTTTTTTCATGAGAAAATTTTCTGGAAATTCTAATTGTTTTCTGATTGTGTATCCATGGGAGAAAAGTGGGATGAAATTGCCAAAATTAGTGAACCTAGAATGGAAACAAGAATAAAATATTAGCCAACTATAGCAGAAATTGGAAGGAAAGGAAAAAAATGAGTAAAATTCAAAATGAAATATCGAAATTTTTTTTCCAGAATTGATTTGTTCTCATCCGCAAGTATGAAAATTGTAGAAATTCTGGATGATGATGATTACATTAAGTGTTTTGTTTCAATATTTTTTTTGTTGTAGTTGTTGTTGTTGTTGGTATTGATAAATAAATTAAAATTCTGATTTGTATCTCATCATCTGTGATGTAGCTCAGATCATCATATTAAATATATTTGACAGTAAAGAATATTCCATTTTCTCTGTTTCTGTTGCTGTTTTTTTTCTAATTACAATGTTGATAAATTTTATAAATTATGATGATACTAATTTTCCTGTGATGTTTTTTTCTCGTTTTTTTGTTTATCATTTAGATTTTTTTTTTTTTTTTCGATCACATCATCGCCATCAATCGTTGTTGTCATTTGTCAAGGTTTTGTTGTTTTGATTGCATAACATAATCCTCCATTCTATATCGATTATTGGTCAATCATCAAATGAAATAAAAAAAACGGATTTTGATTTCCGGAAAATGATCAACGGATAAATTTATCAAATATAAAAATTGACTGGATTTTTATATAAATATTGAAAAAAAACGAAAACAACAACAACAACAATAAAATTGATATATAAACAAGCGAAAACGCACTTCATAATCTCACCATAAACGGGCGGGAGTGTACAACAAGGTGGCTGACGATTTGGCAGTAAATTCTGTGGGCGAAATTCGCGTTGGGCCAGCACACCAGGCACGCTTGCCCGATTGCAAACTGGATGTGTCGCCTCGTGAGATGCCCGAAAAATGCGAATTATTAGAAGAGCTGAGATGGATGCCTGGACTAGAAGAATGCGATCTAAAAATGTATCTGCGTGCGGCTAGAAGCATGGCTGCATTCGCCGGTATGTGTGATGGTGGATCAGCTGAAGATGGATGTCTAGCCGCTTCCAGGGACGATACAACTATAAACGCTTTACAATTGGTATCTAATTTTTTTTTTGAAAAGTTAATTGAACCTCATTAATCTATTTTTATTTCGTTTGGTTTCACATATCGATTTTTCTCTTTTTGTTACGTTATATATAAAATTTAATCATCAAAATAGTTGCACGAAAGCAATTACGACACTGGTAAGGCTCTACAAGCTCTTGTCAAAAGTCCAGTGCCAAAAGGCATTGATAAAAAATGGACTGAAGAAGAGCAGGTAATCGATTGTTTGTTATGAAAATTATCATTATTGATTATTATTAAAATGAAAACTTTCAAATAATATGATCATTGTCATACTACAGAAACGATTCGTTAAAGGTTTACGATTATATGGAAAAAATTTCTTCAAAATTCGCAAAGAATTATTATCACATAAAGAAACGGTAAGTTTACGCTTGATTGGATCGAAATTTATCAATTTTTTCCATTCTTTCTTGTTTTTGTGTTTTCTTAGCCCGATTTGGTCGAATATTATTATCTTTGGAAGAAAACTCCACAAGCGGCTTCGGCACGACCACATCGTCGTCATAGACGTTGTGTACTTCGACGAATCCGTACACAAAACAATAGTAATAATAACAGTAATAATCCTAATGTTCAAAACAAATCAAATTCGAACAAAGATAACGATAACGTAGCCGCTAGTTCTGCAAGTGAAGACGAAGCCGATCAAACTGACGATTCGGATTCACAAATTAACAGTGACCTTGCCTGTAGTAATTGTAATACAATAGCCAAAGAACTACATCAAACAGGCAAAGATCGTTCATTGTTGTGCAATGAATGTCGAAGTTATCTGAAAAAATTTGGTGAACATAGACCTATTTGTGTTAATAAATCATCATCAACGACAACATCGACAACAACAACTGCAACGACCGATCTAATTAATAAATCGACATCTTCCAATCTACATATTAATAATAATAATAATAAAATGGAAGATGAACAATTCTCAACGACGGCAAGCCAATTGAGTAATGGCAAACCAAATTTACGTGTACGACGAAACAAAAGCGATAAAAGTAGTAAATTTGAATTAAATCGCGGTAATTCAAAATCATCTGAAAATAGTAGCCCTGAACGTAATAGTGATGCAAATCCATTAGAAAATGAGACAACTAATGGTGATGCTACTTCCGTTACAATTTCCGGTACTAGTAATGATAATAATAATGAAAACAAAAAGAATGATACAATTCTTAACATCAGCAATAAAAAACGACATTATTCCAGTGTCAATAACAATGACAATTTTAATGGTTGTGATGGCAATAATCAACAACAAGAATCATCAACAATAAATGATGAACAGCTGGACAATGATATTAAACGGAAAAAATTATCATCATCATTGGATGATGATGATGATGGCCTTGATTCCGATCAAAGTAAACCGGATGAATCGGCTATTAATCTAAATGAAGATGTAAATAAAATTATCGAAAAAATCAAAGACAGTTCACCGGAAAATGATTCACAAGATAATGATGATGATGACGATGATAATAGTGGTACAGCAGCTAAAATGACCAAAAGTGAATATCGAGATTCAGATGATGCCGATGGTACGAATATGACTGATGTTTCTGCCAAACTAGAATCCATTGAATCGAAAAATGGTCTAGATACAAAAGATTCTGATGAAACAAAATTCTCCGATAGAATTCGTGAAGATGATGATCAAATGATGATGAAATCGACCAAAGATGATTCGAATGATGGTGGTCATTTGGATGGTCAACAAAAATCCGAATCATCATCAATTGAGCCATCATCATCTGATCATTTGGATCATAAACCAACACTGATCAAAGATGAACCACCTTATTCACCACCACAAGATCTATCATCGTCTTCATCAAGACAAGAAAAACCATGTCTGGCCGAGCAACATAATCCCCCCGTGCCTTTCTCGACCATTTCAATGATTCGTGGCAGTTCATCACCCACAATGGCATCAACGATATCATCGATCATCAAAAAAGAAGACAATGTTACCGCTGTCAATTATTCGACAACGAGCACAACTAATTCATCATCAATATCAGCTTCGACTAAAGTGTCGCCCCCATCATCATCATCAATGTCGCCATCACCTAATCATCATCCTGCTCATCATCCACTTCATCTTGGTGGTCCACCACCACCATCGCTCCCACCACCAATACCGCCCACATCATCATCATTTAACTTTCCTCCAACATTACCTCCGATGCCACCGATACCATCGGATCGATCCCAATTCCCATATCTAGTACCACCATTGAATTTTTCATCGCCACATCAACACGATCCGACTTCGATGAAATCGATCAGTGAGAAGGATTCCGTTAATGTTGGTCAATCGACTGAAACGTTAAAAGGTTCACGTGATGATAAACAACGTGATGGACAAGAAACGGGGAGTAATAAATCTGGCAACAGTGGTAATAAAGGCGAAAGTGGTCGAAGCTTACCCAGTCCAAGAACATCGGCGCCCAGTTCATCAGCTCCTAGTTTTCCTTCATTAGGTAATTTTAATGAATTACAAATGGATGAAATGTCAAAATACATGGCTAACAACAATTCACTGCACTTTCCAACAGTGCCACCATTTATGACATCACCAAACGATCCATTTTTATTATCGCATCCGAATTTCCCAGGTCTGCCACCCGGTAGTGATCGTTTGCCTTTCAATCCAATCATGAATTATCCACCTGGATTTCCACCCGGATTGCCTGGTCTACCGTTTGGTCTGTGGTCTCAGTATCCTGCAGCGACACGTCTACCACAAGGTGCATTTCCTTCATCATTTTTACCACCACCGCCTGGCTCGACAACATCTGGTGGTAATATCGGCGTTCCAGGTTCTTCGGCTGCTGCTTCACATTCACCTCATTCGCAAATGTCATCCAAATCTAAGTCTCCCATTACATCGCAATCGAGTTCACATCATGGTTCATCATCACATTTACCATCAAATAAATCCCATGACAATAAAGATGTATTCGATCCAAGAAGAGATTTCTATCAACATGATGAAGAGGAGTTTGATAGTTCATTCTTGCATCGTGGACCTAGTCCAGAACCGAAAATCGAAGATAGTGAATGTCATCGTAGTCATTCGGCCATGTATGATATTTATCAATTATTTTTTTCTGAAAAATTTATCTAATATTTTTACCCATTTATAGATTTTTAAGACATTGGAATCGTGGCGAATACAATTCTTGTGCACGAACAGATTTAACATTCAAACCGGCACCAGAATCGCATTTATCTCGTAGACGAGAAGAACGTGCACGTAAAGCTGCCGAAAAAGAACGTGAAGAGCATAAGGTATGAAAATTTTGTTAATTCGTCAATTTGCATCAGTTAAACTAATTTATATTTTCATAGAAATCTTCGGAAAAATCTGCCGCTGAAATGAAATCCAATCATGGATCGAATCCACCCGGTATGGTAGGTGACAATGCACATCTCGGTTCGATGGGTGGTCGTCGTACGCCCAGAAACTTTGACACACCTGCACTTCGACAATTAGGCGAATATGCTCGACCTCATACAGCGTATTCACCATTTTCTCATCCTTCACTTGGCCATCCGATGAATCCGAATTTACCTCTTAGTTTACATTCCTCTGCTGCCGGACCATCTGGCCAAATCGATCAAATTACATTGGCACAATTGATGCTAAAAGAACGTTTGGAAGCAGAGGAGAAACAAAAAATGATGGAAAAACAAAAAGAAATGGAACAAATGAAATCACGTTCACAATCACAAACACAACAACATAATCCAGCACCGCCACCACCACCACCACCACCCACTATGCCTTCGACTTCTTCAGCCGCTGGATCGTTGTTCGATCCACATTTATTAGATATGCAAAGACGTTTGGCACAATCGACAGCACCGAGTATGCCAAACTCTTCTATGGCCAACAATCCAAACACATCATCAGCAAATGCAGCCATGTCACTCGCCGGTACGAATCCAGGATTGAATCCGTTCATGTTATTCTCACCAAATGAACGTGAATTCAACAAATGGCTGCAGCGGCTGATGCTGCTCGATTTCAAGCCAATGCTGATCGTCTTGGTGGTTTAAGTGCTGATCATATCTTCCGGTTACAAATGGGTCTAGCCAATCCCGATGCATTACATCCGGGAGCTTCTGCGCCTGGATCTGGTGGTCCAGGCCCTTCGTTTCAACATCCATCACATCCATCCTTGCATCCATCGTCTGCCAGTGCTCAGAATGCTGCAGCAGCGGCAGAACAAGCGGCTGCCGCACAGGCTGCATTGGCAAATGCAGCTGCGATCGGCATGCCAGGATCACAATTTGATCCGGCAAGTTTACATGCTGCTGCGGCTGCTGCAGCTGCTGCAGGTCATCCATTGCTACAATCATCTGCATATCCATCACGTCCGGCTTCGATCATACCTAGACCATCCGAATTGTCACAACAATCATCGTTGTATAGATCATTTGAAGATCAACTAAATCATCAGGTAAAATTCTTGATTCATTCGGAAATGAAACTAATTAAACGATATATATAAAATAAATAGTTTTCGGCTCAAGCTTTATCAGCTCAATCACAAGCATTACAACATGAACAATTTCAACGACAAATGCTAATGGAACGTGAGCGTTTAATAGTACATCAACATCAGATTCTTCAAGAAGAATTTCTAAGGTATTTTCATACATTTTTCAATTCTTATAACATTTTTAAATTTTATTCCATTATACCCAATTAGACAACGAGAAGCAGCCAGTCGAAGGCCAATGTAAATAATACGCATCAAATTAAATTTTTTAAAAAAAGGAAAAAAATTGTCAAGTAGAACTTGAACAAAAAAAAATTTTCCGTTTCCAAATTCTCGATAATCTCAATTTCCATCATCATCATCGTCATCATCATCATCATCATCTTGATTCAACATCATTAACATGATAACATAATAATATACCGAACGTGTATGGAGATTATTCTTTCTCGATTTTTTCTCTCATTCATGCACCGCAGAATATGAAAATTTATTTATTGACAAAAAAAAAAAAAATTTTTTGGTGATTTTCCACAAAACAAAACGAAAAAAAAATCAGACAATTTTTTGTGGCGATATATAAAGAGAAACAGAAATTATCATTATTTTTTCATCATCATCATCATCGTCATCATCATCATCATCAACATCAACCTCATCAATCACTCAACAATTTTTAAGGAAAATAAACGAAAAACTAACGAAACAAACTCACATATATAACATTTATAATTTTATTCAATTATTTCAAACTTTTTATGTATCATCATCATCATCATCGTCATCAGAATTTTACCATAAACGCGAATGTAGAATAATTTTTTTTTCACATTTTCAACATTGGCCATTCATTCATTCATTCATATGTGTCAGACTGGAGTCAACAAATTCCCGATTCTTATTTACGGGGGTAGCTCCATCATCATTAACGACATCATTGTCATTGACTATTGATTTATCTTCTATTTTTTATTATCTAATTATTACCTAGGTTTTTTTTCTTCTTTTATTTTTTCCCATCAATCAAAGACATGACACACAGACAACAACAACAACAACATAACAAGCGAAATAAGAAAGAAAAACAAAAAAAAACGATTTGGATTGAGAATTGATCCAATTTCATTGTTTTGTAAACAGTATTATCATTGTGCTCGGTATACATCCAAAAAAAAAAAAAAAAAAAATGAATTGGACAGATTTTTCAACAACAACAACGAAACAAAACAATGTTTCAATCATCATTTCTATCAAATCATCAATCAATTTATTATTAACAGATATTCAATCAATCAATCAAAGCTCACACACACACACACACACACACACACAGACATTGACAGAATTCAAATATTTTAAAAGCATGAAAAAAAAATTTCTTGTATGACAATTCCTAAAATTTTTTAACGAAAAAAAAAATTATTTGCAAATGAGAAATTGGAATACACACACAATACATACACACACATTCAAATCAATCGATTCATAATTGTGTCAATAATTTATTGTTTGCTATGAGACGATAATTTTTTTAAACTTTATTATTATCATCATCATCATCATCATCATCATCATTGATCAATTTGTTATTGGATAAGATGGAATTTAACTAATTCACTAATTCTATACAACAAATAAAAAACATGGAAGGAAGAGAAAGCCGAGTAAAAAAAAAAAAATTCCTTCATCATCATCATCATCAACATAAAATTATTATTTTGATTTTTTTTTCTCGTCTCTCAATCATTATCATCATTGTCATAATCATTTATATTATAATTATTATTATCATTATTATGAATTCATAATTTTTTTTTCAAATCTCAATTATTAATAAAAATCTAATCGAACAAAATTTTTTTTTCTGTTCAATTGTGTACGGCTATTTTTCCTAAAACTGCTCATGATGTCGACATAGACGATTTGCCGATGATTGCATGTGGATTACATTTGATTTTTTGTTTTTTGAATCAGTTTTTTTCGTGAAATTTAAATCATTCGATATGAATTCGGCGACAAGATATTTGACCAGAATTCTTTTGAAACCAGATGGATTTGTTTCATTGCGTCGACCAAATCGTCTGGCATTACAATTCCATAGTGAACAGCAACCATGGAATTTCCAGCATCAACAATTTCGTCTTAGACATTCAGCACGATTGAATACGGTTGTGGTATTCGTTCCACAACAAGAAGCTTGGATCATCGAACGTATGGGTCGTTTTAATCGAATATTAGATCCTGGACTCAATGTCCTACTACCAGTTCTTGATAGCATCAGTTATGTTCAAAGTTTAAAAGAGATTGCCATTGATATTCCACAACAATCTGCTGTCACAAGTGATAATGTCACATTACATATTGATGGTGTTCTTTATTTGAAAGTTAACGATCCTTATAAAGCATCATATGGTGTTGAAGATCCAGAATTCGCTATCACTCAACTTGCACAAACAACTATGCGATCAGAAATAGGTAAAATCAATTTAGATTCTGTATTCAGAGAACGTGAAATGCTTAACATTGCTATTGTTGAATCGATCAATTTGGCGAGTAATTCTTGGGGTCTAACATGTATGCGTTATGAAATTCGTGATATAACGTTACCTGCAAGAGTTCAGGAGGCTATGCAAATGCAAGTTGAAGCTGAAAGAAAAAAACGTGCAGCCGTTCTTGAATCCGAAGGTATTCGTGAGGCAGAAATCAATGTTGCTGAGGGTAAGAAAAAATCTCGAATATTATCATCTGAAGCTCATCTGATGGAACAAGTCAACGAAGCTAAAGGTCTAGCCGAAGCAACTAGACTAAAAGCTGAAGCTAAATCAAAAGCTATTCATATTGTTGGACAATCATTACGTTCGATTGAGGGTAGTGATGCTGCAAGTTTAAATATTGCTGAACAATATATCGGTGCATTTTCAAAATTGGCCAAAACGGGCAATACATTAATCCTATCATCGGATGCTGGTGATATTGCTAAAATGTCGGCAAATGTAAGTCTAAATCACAGTTCGATTGCAATCAAACAATAATTTTTTTTTTTACAACCATTTGAATAGGCCCTTCAAGTATACAAAACTTTGTCTCGTCCAGATCGAATCGATGAAGAATTGGATGAAGAAGATCCCGAAGAATATTACAGTAATCAAGAAGATGGAAATAATAAATAAATAAAAAAATAATTTATTTTCATTTGTACAGCAAAGATTTAAAAATTTACAAATTATTGCCAACAAAAAGGAAAAACAAATAATTAATGACTGATCATGGCACATTTGAAATGGCCATTATTTTTTCATAATTCATTATCAACATATAATTGTTGTTGTAAAAGGTTTTTTATCTTGTTATTTTCTTCAATCAATTTTTGAATAAGGGCATCTTGTTTTTCAATCTCAATCTCATCGAATGTACCGACCGAATCCAGTAATGGCACTAATTCATTTAGTTTTGTATGGAAAAATTTTTCACGTTCATTCAATAGATCATCTTGTATTTCATATGATTGTTCTAATTGATTTAATCTTTCTAACAAATGTCCTTGTTCACGATATTTGGCCATAATAACATTGAGAACTTCTTGATGATTTTGTATGGCTGATTCTAATTCTTGATTTTCATTCTCCAATTCTTGTATAGTTTTTCTTTCCTGTTCCAATGCAATAATCAATGAAGCTCGTGAATTATATGTAGATAGATTATTTAGATTGTTAAGTTCATCATTATACTGGACGGAGAGAAAAGAATTGAATGAATTTTTAAATAATTTTGTTTGAAAAAAAAACAAACCTCTTTATTCAATTTGACTGTTTTATGTAAATCTTGTGAAGAATTGGACAAATCATTCATCTGTTCATTTAGATTATCTATCTGTTGAGTACTTTTTTGTAATGATTGTATTATTTTATCAATATTTGGCGTCATATTATTCGACATTTATTAGACCAGAATAGTGGGGAAAAACAATTTTCTAATCAAAACTGAAGATTGGAACATTCCAAATCATCATCACAACATAATAATAACCAAAATGTAAACAATGCAGAGAAAAAAAAGTTGAAAATATCGATATATACACACAGAAATAAAAGTAAAAGTAAAAAGTAAATTTGGGCTGCAACAACTATCGATATATCGAATTCAACTAAACAACAACATTGTTTACCACCAAATTCGGAATGTTTTTTTTTCTATTTCAAATTATCAATTCTCTTTCATGATGATCAATAATGAAATGATGATGAATTTTAATTGCAACATTCATGATTTTCATCCAAAAATTTTGATTATTCAAACAATAAACGTTTGAAATAATGAAACTTTATCAACGAAATTTTCTACTTATTCTTTTTATAGCGTTTGGATCAATTTTCGGTTGGCTTATTTTCATTTCTAATAGTAGTCCTACTAAAAACCTTTCGATTATTGCTAGTTCCATTCATCCTATTGCTAGAAAATTAATTGAAGATAAAACAGAAACTCTGTCCAATGATCTTATTGTTGCATCACCGGTGAAACAACCAACAGTGATTGATAGTAAAAATGTTGATCCACTGGCCGAATCTAGATCGGTATCAAAACCGAAACGAATACGAAGCATTACCTGTAAGATTAATGGTGAATATAAGATTAATTGTTTGAAATTAATGAGTGGCAAAGAAACTTCTGTTTATATTCCATTTTCATTTATTCATAAATATTTTGAAATTGGTGGCAAAATTGTCAATCAAAAAAGTCAAGATGAATATTTTGAATGGAATCACAGTTATTCAAAGATATTCTATCCAGATCAACCATACGATCCTGCCGATATATTTCTTTGGTTCGGCAATTATAATGTAGAATTTCGTGATCGTGTAAAATGTATTTCGGCTATCGATAATGTTCCATTATCGACACAATGGTATCCTGCAGGTCATCTTTATCCAACACAAATCTGTCAATATGGTCTTAGTCATTTTAATAAGAATCTTACATCTGCACCGTCCGAACGTATTCAATTGATTAACGATGGAATTGTATCCGATTTCCATGTCGATCATAATTTTATAGTGGATTTCAAGAAAAACTATCTTATTGTTAAAGATTCAAGAATCGATTTGAAAAATAATCATACAAATTATCTAATTGGTCAACTTGATATGAAACTGATTGGAAATGCTTCGATTACATTTGTCATGTTCAATATACAGACACAACAGATATCTTATGTTTTGTATTCAACTATTGATGATGTGATTGTTATAGATACTGAAGATAATCAAATCACATATGGTTTAGGATCAAAAGCATTCAAACGTGGATGGTTTCATTTTACTCGTGATTTACTTGTTGATCTATACAAAGGATATTTCATTTCTGACCGAAAACGCAACAATTATTATGTTTCATACATTCAAATCGATGGTACTGTTTATATCAAAAATTTAGCCCTTAAAACTTCAGCACATGAAGAATTTGCTATGGCAGCCGGCGATTGGTTGATGCGAAATCAAAACGCTCAAGGTGGATGGCGTATTCAAGTGGATAGAAAATTATCCAAAGGTTTATTGGTCATCAAAAAAGGTTGGCATTCGGCAATGGCACAAGGACATGCTATAAGTTTATTGACTCGATTATATCGTGCTACAAACAATACAAAATATCTAGAAACGGCTAAAAAAGCATTGAATATATTCGAAATTGAATCATATAAAAACGGTGTCAAAGCAATTTTGTTTGATAAATACATCTGGTATGAAGAATATCCAACTGTACCGAGCATATTTGTCTTGAATGGATTCATATATTCATTGTTTGGATTATATGATCTAAGCAAAGCTTGTAACGATCAAATATGTCAAAAATCTAGCCAATTTTATGATGAAGGTATACGATCATTAGAATCAGCATTATCATTATATGATTCTGGTTCTGGATCATTTTATGATCTTCGTCATTTGAGCTTAGGCATAGCACCGAATCTTGCACGTTGGGATTATCATTCCACACATATAAATCAGCTATTATATTTATATACGATCACTCGAAATGATCTTTTCAAAACGGTTGCCGATCGTTGGATTGCCTACATGAAAGGACATCGATCATCACACAATTGATTCATTGAATTGAATTGAATTGAATTTTATTTTAATTCAATGAAAAAAAATTCCCCTTAAAATATTTATTACCATTCATATTGTGATAATTTGTCAACCAGCAAAGCAGCAGCAGCAGCAGCACCCTCTCAATTTTATTTTACTTGTTCAGTCAAATATTTTCCAATTTTTTTTCTGTTGATAATAATAATAATAAAATTGATTTTTTGTCTTTACCAGTAAAACAAAAAAAAAAAAAAATTGAACTTTTATCAATTTGATTTTTTTTTTGAAAATTAAAAAACTTGAGTCACGTTTGATTTGAATGGGTATTATTAACCAGATTTTTTTTTGTATATTGCGCATCCTCTGAACAGGTCATACGTTTGAGGGCACGTCTTTAGAAACGATCGATTCTCCTCTTATAATGAACATACACACATTTTATATTAAAAAGAGTGAGGATTTTTTGTTCTTGTGTATTTCGAATAGAGACAACATTCGCCGACATTGGTGCCTGGTGTGTGTTTGTTGTGCTGTTCACTTCTTTACATTTGATTTTGTTCCAATAACATTAAAAAATTTTTTTTTGTCATTTGTAAGTTTTGAATTTTCATTTGAATCTTCAAATAAATATAATCAATCATTTAAATATAATATAAATAGTTTGAAAATAACCATAACGAACGTGTATAGAAAAATGGCAATGAGTTCGCTTGCAATTCGATCATTGAATTTGACCAAAGCCGCTGCTGGTAAAAGTGGTGCCCTTAAAACGGTATGCAATATCTCTTGTGTTTCAACGTGTTTTTTTAACCGGTCTAATTATTATTAGCTTACCAAATGTTATGTTCCAATCTGTGGTAATGTAGCATCAAGAAATTTTCAAACATCAACATGCCAACAAGCTTCAGCTGCCGAAATGTCCACCATCCTTGAGGAACGTATTCTTGGACAATCAGTTTCGGCTAGTTTAGATGAAACTGGTCGTGTACTATCGATTGGTGACGGTATTGCTCGTGTTTATGGCTTGAAAAATATTCAAGCCGAAGAGATGGTTGAATTTTCGAGTGGCCTTAAGGTTTGTACCTGTAATAATAAAACCATCAATGTAATGTGTATTTTCATTAACATCAGGGTATGGCTTTGAATTTGGAGCCCGATAATGTCGGTATTGTCGTATTCGGTAACGACAAATTTATCAAAGAAGGTGATATCGTCAAGCGAACTGGTGCCATTGTCGATGTTCCAATTGGTATGGAATTACTTGGCCGTGTTGTAGATGCTTTGGGCAATCCAATCGATGGTAAAGGTCCAATCAAGAGTGGCAAACGTGCTCGTGTCGGTGTAAAAGCTCCGGGTATCATTCCTCGTATTAGTGTCAGAGAACCTATGTTAACGGGTATGAAAGCCGTCGATTCTTTGGTACCAATCGGTCGTGGTCAACGTGAGTTGATTATTGGCGATCGTCAAACCGGTAAAACCGCCATCGCTATTGATACTATTATTAATCAAAAACGATTCAATGATGCTGGTGAGGAAAAGAAAAAATTGTTCTGTATCTATGTTGCCATTGGTCAGAAACGATCCACCGTAGCTCAAATCGTCAAACGTTTGACTGATTCTGATGCCATGAAATACACCGTCGTTGTATCAGCTACCGCTTCAGATGCCGCTCCATTGCAATATTTGGCTCCATATTCTGGCTGTGCTATGGGAGAATTTTTCCGTGATAATGGCATGCATGCATTGATCATCTATGACGATTTGTCCAAACAGGCTGTCGCTTACCGTCAAATGTCATTGTTGCTTCGTCGTCCTCCAGGTCGTGAAGCTTATCCAGGTGATGTCTTTTATCTTCATTCCCGTCTATTGGAACGTGCAGCCAAAATGAATGAACAATTCGGTGGTGGATCATTGACGGCTTTGCCAGTCATCGAAACACAAGCTGGTGATGTGTCAGCCTATATCCCTACCAATGTCATTTCAATTACCGATGGACAAATTTTCTTGGAAACTGAATTGTTCTACAAAGGTATTCGACCAGCCATTAACGTCGGTCTGTCTGTCAGTCGTGTCGGTTCAGCTGCTCAAACCAAGGCTATGAAACAGGTAAAATTAATATCTCCACTTGTTTTCCTATTTATTTAATTCTTTTTACAATCATCTTAATACAGGTTGCCGGTTCTATGAAATTGGAATTGGCTCAATATCGTGAAGTCGCTGCTTTCGCTCAATTCGGTTCCGATTTGGATGCTGCAACTCAACAATTGTTGAACCGTGGTGTTCGTTTGACCGAGCTTTTGAAACAAGGACAATATGTACCAATGCCAATCGAAGAACAGGTTGTCGTCATCTATACTGGTGTACGTGGCTATTTGGATAAATTGGATCCATCAAAGATTGGCAAATTTGAAGAACAATTTTTGCAACACATCAAAACATCTCATTCAAACTTGTTGACAACGATCGCTTCTGAAGGTCAAATTAGTCCAGATACAGATGGTAAACTTAAACAGATTGTCACTGATTTCCTCGCATCATTTACGGCAAGCCAATAAAATAAATAAAAAAAATTAGGGTTGCTGAAAAGTGACAAAGTTTTTAAACAAACAAAACAATACACATACACATCCGATAAAAGAATCAAAAAAAAAAAATCAAGACACGTAGTTAAATTTTGAATCAATTAAATTGAAAAGAGAGAGAAAAAAAAAATTTGTAATTTTATTGTTTAAAAAAAAATTGATTCAAATTATTAACATTTATAAATAAATAATAATAAAAAAATTAATTATTCACAAATGAAATACTTTCTAATCGTTTCGGGTATTTCAAGTTTACCCGTTTCAAATATCTGAAATTGTTCAACAATCGAATATATTAATGGAACAATATTGATTGATGATGTAATTAGATGACAATCTTGATAGTTTGACATTCCTAATCTTTGTGTAATATAATGATGATGATGTATAATCTCACCAATTGGTGTCCATTCTTGTCGAGATTTTAACCATGATAATAGTGTATATTTATCATATTCATTTGGATATAATGATTGAATATCGGTTCGAAGTGAACAACGTTCAATACCAATCATGGTGAATAGATTCCAAAATAATTTATATAATTCATTCATCGATTTGGATGATTCATTTGGATCGGAAAGAATGGTCGCTCGTATCGTATGATTTTGTTCCATTTGATCTGAATTATTATAAGTGCTACCGATTTGATAAAATCGTCCTCGATTAATTTTCTGTTTCGATAGCCAAGCACAAAATGATTCCAATGAAGCATCGCCAACCAAATGTAAACGTTGATTATCTTCACTTTGATTACTTGCTAAACGTAGCCGATATTGGTCTTCCGAAAATGATCTATAATTAACACATTCAATAATGGCACTTTTGACTAGATCTAAACCATTGACTAAAATATGGCCAGATTCATTGAGCGATCGGCTAAACATATCGATCAAACCATAATACAATAATGCACCTTGACCATGAAGATAATTGGCACCAGGTCCAACAATCGATCTAGTGTACAGGTTGTTGATATAACCGAGACGAACATAATTATGTGAAATTTGATCAACAGTATTCGATTGCCATCGATCCATAATTTCAGGTTCATTACCGACACTTGGTTCAATTTCACATGGTATGCTCAACAGAAACGGTACAATAGTTTCCTCTAAGGCATAAAGGTTTTCACGTGATTCAACCAAATTCGATTGACATTGTTGATATTTTTCCCGTAAAGTTTCATTCGAGCCGTCGGATTTTCTTATTTTTCCAATCAATTTATTTCGTTTCTTTTTCAACGATTCTGTGGCCGTAAAATGTTTGATAAAATCATTCAATAATTCTGATAATTTATGATTGTTGAAAAAATTATTATCAATGTTACGTATTCGAAATGATTGTTCAATTTTATCCAGATTTTGTTCAATATAATTCAGATAATTAACATCATATGTAGGATCAAGTACACGAAATAATTCCTGTCCATATTTGGCTGAAACATATAACGATGATTGTATTGGTTGTGATGATGAAATGGAACATTTTCGGCAATTATTGTAAATAATGAAATTATAACGGCAAAATGTTTGCTTCCAAAACCTGTTGAATGACATTTTTTATCTTAATTTCCAAGACAAGAATTCTTTTTTTTTTGTTTTGTTTATTTGAAAAACAGCTGTTTATGAACATTTCTCATCACTATAGAAGAAAGATGGCAGCAGTTGTATCAGAAAATTTTCAAAAATAAAATACAATCATCAGCAACACCAACAAAATAATGTTCCAAGAAAATACGATTGTCAATGATGAGAATTCCAGTAAGTTATAATAATAATAATAAGCCAATAAAGACTGATGATGATGATTATTATTATGGTGATTGTTGATAACAAGATTATTTTAAATGTATTTTTGCACAACGAAAGCGACGACAACAATGATAATGATGATGGCTGATTTTCTTTTTTCTTTTTTGCTTCTCTATAAAAAAAAACTTCAACACAGCCAAAGAATAATAATAAAAAAATTGAAACGAATGAATCGAGAATTGTTTCAACAGCAACAATACCAAGAAATGATCAATTGGTTATATCGTTTGTGTGTGTGTGTGTGTGAAACTATAGTTTTCGTGACTTGACTATATAAAAATGTTGTGAAAAAAATACCGATCAGAATCCATTGAAGACGAAAAAAAAGAAATATAAAAATAAAATAAAATAATACAAAGAATTACAATAGCAGAAAAAAAAGGAGAAAAATTCCATTGAAATTGACGATCCAATAGAATGATGTTGATGATGAAACATTGAATGGGATATAATAATTTCGTGCCAAAAAAAAAAAAACATTCCATTCAAAACATCATTGTTATGGATTGTGTATTTTTTTTTCTCTCTCTCTTTTTGGTTATGTTGTGTGTTTGTGTTTGTTTCGGTTGGTTGGATTCTACATTAAATAATGTTTCAACGAAAAACATGGCAAACATCATCATCATCATCATTGTCCATTTATTGCCAAGTGAAATAAAAAACTTGAGAAATTTTTTTCATTTTATTTTTTTCCATTGCCATTTTTTTTACTGGTTTTTTTTTCATTCAACACGAGCTTCAATGTCGCGTCTTATATAATAATGGTGTAATCATAAACTTATGGCCTAAAAACAATGACAATTTGATCTGTACCGAATGATATGATATGATATGATATGATGATGATGACGATGATCCAAAAAAAAAGTTGGATTTAGTGAAATAAAATAAAACAAAACAGAAAATTTCACGTTGCGCACGTCGAAAATAATTTTCTCATTTTTTATTATTATTGTTTTTTCCTGTTTTCTTGATCTTTTCCACTTTTTTAATCGACACAAACACACACACACACACACACGCATACCCGAAAGTAAATTTTGTTTTTGTTTTTGTTTTCTAGAACTTGGTAGAATCAACAAAAAAAAACTTGGATCTAGTAATGATAATCCCAAAGAATCGTTAAATTATGCAGACATACGAAAATGAAATGAATTCATTATTATTATTATAACTTTGAAATTAAAGACGAAAAATTCCGTGAATACTGACGTAAATCTGATTTATATATATATGAGTGGGAAGATGTAGACTTTCATCATCATCAGTAATTTTAACTTTGACTTTTATAACCATGTCTTGGGACAATGACGATGATGATGATGATGATCGAATGATGATGATTCTGAGAAATGAAAATGAAAAGAAGAAAAATTTTTTTCAGTAATTTAGATTTCGAATGAAGAATTTATTTGAATTCTTTGAGCCATAAATAACAAGAAAAAAAATATAGCCAGTTGTTCACAACAAACAGAAAAAAATTCTTGGACAACAAAAAAAAATAATAATTACCGAAAAAAAACTGTTCGGTTAAACGAAATGTTGAAATGGAATGAAATGAAATGAAATCACGAGATAAATTTAATTTTAATAATAACAATAAAAAAAATCTTGAAAACAAAATCAAGACATAAGAATTTTTATCTAACTTGAGAGAAAACAAAAATGATGATGATGATGAAAAGAATTTTGTTGTTGAGAGAGAGAGAGAGAGACAGAGTGAACGAATAACAAAAAAAAAAGACAAGCAGGAAGTGAATGAAACTGAATGGAGAATCCCAATGGAAAACGAAGAATACGGGAAGAATAAGAAATGAAAAAAAAAATTTTTTCTTGTTGAAGAATTTTTTTTTATTTTTTTTTCCTGGTTAAAAACTTAACTCAAAAACTACACTGGTAACTAGATAAATTTTCAAAACTACCAGAAAAGATTAGAATTTTATTTAACGGCGATGAGTGTGAGAAAGTGAGAGTGAAAAAAAAAAAAAAAAAAATTTTTCCATTCACATCGTACACTACATTCATACATTGTTCAGGTTGAAATTTTTTTTTTTTTTTTGTCTTTTCAGTTTCACTTTTTTTTTATTATTTGTTTTGTTCCCAAGCCATTCACTTTGTTCACTTCATTCATTCATTCATTGTCAAAGTTGTATGGCCGGATGTCTAAAAAGACTGAAAATGATGTGTGTGTGTGTGTGTGTTTGTTTTGGTAGAAATTTTCATATTTTCTCAATCTCAATTTTCATTCTTTATTCAAAAAAAGTGCCCCATGAATAATTGATTAAGAATATGGAAGAAAAATTTTTTTTTTATTTGCTTTCGTTGAAAAAAAACCGGTTCCAGAAATTTTCATCAAATTAGTATATTAATATATAGTGTGTCAAATTTATATTGTCATTTTTGTTCCATCTTTTTTTGCCTGTTACATGTATGTTTTGACATCTAAAAAAAAAAAAAAAATACGATCTGATATGATATCTGTTCAATTTGTGAGTTCCAAAAAGATTGCAAAAAAAATTGATCATTCGATATCATCATCAGCATCAGAAGAAGAATAAGACGAAGAAGAAGCAGAATTGGAATAAGGTCACTTTGTCATCAGTCTTACAGTGGCAGTGGATTCATTCGATCGAAGAATGCAGAAAAAAAGAGGGACAACAAAAAGAGAATAGAAAAAAGGATTCAGCTCTAAATCCAAGTAAAGAAAATGGGAGAAAAAAAAATTCAATGAAAATTCAGCCATCCATAATGATTCCATCATCATATGTATGATGATGATGATGATGACGATGATGATGATATAACACAATATTCAAATACATTCACTTTCATTTCTGACCGTCTTCATTCCTTGATTCGTATTATTTTGTTATGAACAAAAAAATTTTTGCTGCTAAATTGAATAATCTTTTTTCTCTTTCTTTCTCCTGTATTACCACCACCATTCGAAAGATTCGGCAAATCGATTTTACTATACTGTGCCTATTTTCATTTCTTTTCAACTTTTCAGATTTTTTTTCCTTAGTTTCAATCCTGAACATGATGACGACGATGACGATGACGATGATGAATATGAGCCGAAATTTAAAGTGAATAAATAGGGCGTTGTATTGAAACGATGGTGAAAAAAAAAAAAATTCTGTTTTCTACTCGAAAAATGAAATACACTGTTTGTTGGATGAATGTAAAATGCGCCACACCCATTTCGTATTTTTTTTTATCGGTCGCTTGATTTTTGATTTTCGTTTCGATCGTTTTTTTTGCCAAGCGTTATGCAGTATCGTTTCTGTTGTTTTAAATAACTTTTTTTTTTGCCCGATTGGAATTTTTCTTCAATCTCTCTTTTTTTCTCTCAGTGCGATTCACTTAATATTTGATTTCAATATCGATCAACTTGATCAAATTTTTTTTTTTTTGCCCGTTGCTCATTCAATTTTCGATTTTCGATGTTTGCCGAATTCATTCATTCATTCATTTATTCACCAGGTTTATTTGATCATTCATTCGTTTTGTTTGATTTCATTTTATTATTGAGAATGATGGAACCAGAAAAAAACGATTTTTTTTTTGATTCAATGATGAACAATATTCGTGCAATGTTGATTTTTTTTTTGTTGTTGCTGGTAGATGGTTGGTACCAATATCGATAAATGAAAAAAAAAGAAAATACCGGAATCATGCTGTTTTTCTGTTGTTGTTGAAAAAACCTTTAATCTTCATTTAATGAACTAATAAATTTCATTGTTTCTCTCTTTCTCTATCACATTACATTCATTCAATCTATAGAATTGGTATTGCATTGCATCACCAAATATGGTGTAAAACATTCATTGGCAATCTAATTTACACAACTAATAACAACAACAAAACGACAATGAATAGTTTAAATGGTGAAAGAAAAAACATTTTGCAATTAGAAATCAGAACTTGATTTTGTCATGTCGTTTTTTTTGTAGTAGTCGTCTGGTTATTATTATTTGCCTTAGGATCAAATGATGTTAATTGTGTGTGTGTGTGTGTGTGTGTGTGTGTGGGTGGGTGCGGATGTTCAATATGCACTTTTCATACGCCCTGGTTGTTATATATATAGAGTGGTTTGATAATTGCGAATGAAATAAAAAAAAAATATTAGCTATTAGAATCGATAAATTTAATATTTAAAAAAAACATCATTTACGTTCTCTGATTCTTTTTTTTTTGCACACATTTCAATAAATGACAGTTTTTTTAACGATTATCTAGTTTCAAGATCATCATCATCATCATCATCAGTGATGAATGAAAAAGTACATAACATTCTGATTGAATCAAAATGACAACAAGCAATGAATATATATTGATGTTCCCAATTGAGAATTTTCATTTTTTATTCATTCTTTTGCCATTCCTTTTTCCCTTCAAATGGTCTATGGTTGTCGTTGTTGTTGTTGTTGTTGTTGTTGATGATGATGATGATGATGGCCTCGTTTCGGTGGGCGATAATTGATTTTTTTCTCTCGGTGATTTCCTTTTTTTTCAAAACATTACACATTTTGAATCGTACTTTTTTTCATTTTAATTATTTTATTGATTGCCTAATTTCTTTTTTTTTTTTTTGCCCCATACAACATCGAACAAAAACTACTGGATTGCCGCCATATATATATAATCATAACGACACAAGTCATTTGACGGTCATACACCGACGTCAAGAATTTTTTTTTTTTTTTTTTTAAATCTAAAAAAAAGTCTTTCTATTTCGTTGTTGTCATTTATTGGTTTGTCAGTGAAATGAAAAGAAAAAAAAAATGTTCCAAATGTTTTGGAACACTAGCACTAAATGGTGGTGGTGAAGACCGTAAAATTTGAAAAAAAAAATTTTACTTCGATTACTTTCGCACTCATACACGGTTGTTGA